GTTTTTCTCTTTTCTATTATTGCCCAATTCTGTTGTTTTATATTCTCCTTTTCCTTGTCTTATCTGTTAACAGACAGCAACAATATCCAGCCACATGTATACTCCCTGTAGCTTTACCCATTATGAAAGACTAAAACTGGCTTCTGCAACACTGATCAATGAAGGACTACAACCAACACCAGTCCAGTCATCCCTCCCCTGCTGTGCTCTACACAGTGAACAGATAGCTGTACACACACCACCCTCTATCATACCCAGCAGAAGACAGGAAGTGAAACAGTAAGAATCATTGAACTATCAAGTGCCACAACACACTTACACAGTTCATCAGAACAAAACATAACAGACCTAATACCACTATAGTACTGGGGAGGCAGCACATAGTAGGATAAGCCAGCCAAATAAACAGGACAAAATGGAACAAAAGAAAGCAGACCTAAATGTATAATCAGAAAACACTTTAGAGGAAGTAATTCCAACAGAATTCCTGAAAAGGAATTGAAATGAATGATAGTCTAGTGTCTTCAACAAACTGATAAAAATACAGATAATTTTTTAAAAAGATCAATTAGAGAAAATAAACAGAGAATCAGGAATCATTTAAGGCAAAAAAAGTGAAATTCTAAAAATGAGAACTGAAATCTCAAAAGTAGAAATCACACTGAAAGGACAAAAGAGCAGATGAAAAGAAATAAAATGAAGACTTAGTGGAATTAAATCCTTCACTAGTGCTCTGGCAGAGGAACCAGCAGAAGAAAGGAAAAAAGGAAATTGAAGAAAGCACACAAATCACGTGCAACCACATCAAGAAGAATGACTTAATATGACTGGAACATCAGATCAAGAAAAGTTTCCCCTGAAAAACAAAAACCAAACAAACACACACAAACAAAAAATTACAGAGGAAATCACTGAAGATTTGCTAGAAGAAAACATCCTAAATTTATGAAAAAGGAGAAAATCTGCACTTAAGAAGCTAAGAAAACTCCTAATAGGATAGACTACATAGAAAACCACCAAGACAAACGGTAATAAATTTTTTTTAAAAAAGCAAACCAAAAAAGATCAACAGAAATTCATTATCCTAGATTCAGAACTGACTCACAGTTGACCCTCCAGTGGATTTTTAGAGGCTATAAACTGCACAGGAGGAGACTGCCCATCTTTCTCCCTTGAAGCATCTGGTGGTTTTGAACTGCCTGCCATTGATATGGCTCTGAAATTCCCTAAATACAAGGTCAACATTCTACAAAGAGAGGGGAAAAGAAAGCATCAGCTTTATACAGAAAGGGAAGAGACCACTATAAGCAAAGTGATATAAGAAAAAAAAAAGTTTATCTCAAAACTAACTCAAAAGGGATCAAGGACCTAAGACATAAAACTAGAAACTATAAAGATTATCAAAGAAAAAACCTAAGCCCACTTAGGAGCTCTAATCAATGGCATGAACAGAATTCTTAAAAGAGGATTAACTGCAGTAAGGGAAATTCTTAGGTGCATCAAAAGACTTCTCCACAAAAATGAAAGAGAAAAAAAAAATCTTAAAACTGGGGGAAAAAATATTTGGCAATGACACATCTGAGGAGGGCGTTATCTATAAAACTTAATAAAAACTCCAATACCTCAACAAGAAAAAGACAAACAAAACAATTTCAAAATGGGCAGAGGACATTAATAGACACTTTACCAAAGACATTCAGATGGCCAACAAGCACATGAAGAAATGCTCAAGATCACTAGCAAGTCAAAACAAAAATGAACTATCATCTCCTTCCAGCAACAAAAGCAAATTTAAACAGGACGGCAAATAACAGATGCCAGGAGGATGTAGAGAGGTTCTGAAACTCTCATACACTGTGGGTGAGAATATAAAATGGGGCAATAACTATGGAAAGCAGTTTGGCATTTCCTTAGAAAGTTGAGAACAGATGTGTCACTTGATCTAATAATTCCTAGGTACATGTCATGTTTACTTTAGCATTATTAAACAAAAACAGAGTTAAAAACCACCCAAGTGCCTAATGCACACCCATGTTTATCATGGCTTTGTTCACAATAGCAAAGAGCTGGAAACAACCTAAGTACAAATCAACAAATGGATAGAGAAGCTGTGGTATATTCACACAATGGAATACTACGCTACAATGAAAAATGAGGAACTCATGAAATATACAAAATGGTGACCCTGGAGGACATTATGCTGAATGAATTATCTCAGTCACAAAAGGACAAATACTGCATAGTGCCACTGTTGTAAAATGGGACTGACATTGGGGTTGGGGAAAGACTGAGGGGATAAATAATGTATACTGCATTGAAATAGATGAGGGAGAGAACTGTTTGAAAGGGTTATATGAGGGAGCTTTGGTGTTCTGGTGGCAAGAAGCTGCACTGCAATCCCAGAGGTATTTGGTTTGAGTCCACCAGATCTCTTGCTGGAGAGGGAGAACAATCTCCTCCTGTACCAGTTAGATGTGATTTGATAGTACACACATACAAAATAGTAAAATAAAATAAAAAGTTGGTTTTTTTTAAAAAAAAAGAGTGTTATATGATTAGGTATTATTGTCACTACAGGAGTCCAGAACGAAGGCTGCATAATGGAGGGACTTGTGGGGGAGGGATTGATTAACAATGAAAGAATTTTTCTTTTACTTTTCAAAGAGAAAAGCAAACTGGGGGGGAGGGTTGGGCAGGGAGAAAAGTGTAACAATGAACGAATGGAAATCCAAAATCTCTATAAACTTTCTATTAATGGAGAAAAGGCTAAAGAAACGCAATGGACACTCACATAATGTATTACTATGCATCACTAAATAATGAATGCAAATTTGTGAAATACTGCACACATGGATATATCTAGAGGACATTATGCTAAGTCAAATAAATCAATCACCAAAGAACTAGTAAGGTATAAGAATACTGCCACACCACAAAAGCTAAGGAAATACTTACACACAGAACCAATCTGTGAAAGGGTTAACAGAGTTGTAAACAGAGGGAAGAGGAGAGTAAAATGAACAGGTAAGCTGTGTGAGGGAAAAGGCAACTTACAATACGGAGGTGGAAAAATAATAAATTCCATTAATCAATGGAAGGTACTAAAACAAAATGTCTAAGAAAAAAACCAGTATGATTTGTAAATCCTAACTCAAATTAAATCCATGCATACATATGTACATAAGACAGACCAAGGAAGAAATGATGGCCTTTGAATTGTGGTGTTAATGGAGTATGTCAAATACACCGTGGCCTGACAAAAGAACTTGGAAGAAGTATATCCAGAAAACTGCTTAGAAGGGGTCAATCTCTGGAGAAAGATATTATACTTGGTGAAGTAGAGGGTGAATTAACAACCACAATAAATAAAGATGACCCTCAATGAGATAGATTTTGACACTGTGTCTGTGGCTATAGCAACAGGCTCAAGCAAAGCAAAGATTGTGAGGAGGTGCAGGATGAATTTCGCCTCTAAGGTTGGGAAGAGTTGAAGTCTACTTGATGTCACCTTGGAAAGGGACATTATAAATGGAAAGGTGCGGTTTGGCTAAAGAGAGAAAGGTTACAATGAGATGAGCTGGCACAGTGATTGTAGCAATGGGCTCAAGAGTATCAGACGATGAGGATGGCACAGTTACAGGGCATGGTTCAGGTCTGCTGTTCATGAGTTGTACTTGGCTTAGCAGCACTTTACAGCAACAACAACAATATTCACAGATGACATGATTATGCAGAAAAGTCAATGTATCTGTAAGAAGATACTAGAGTAAATAAGTTTAGGAAGGTTGCAGAATTAGAGTAAAAACAGAAAATTTCATTGCTTCCTTTATAACAAATCGAACGGGAAAAAAATGCTTCCTTGGGGATTAGTACATCAAAGGCACGCAGAGGATACACATTTTTCTTCATTAGACCTGCATTTAATTTAAAAAAAATGATTATCACTATGTAAATTAAAAAAACAACAAAAAACAAACTCATTAAAGAAATGAAAACAATCTCTCAACACATGAGGAACAATTATGAAAACTATGGTGTTTACCAAAATAAATTCAAACTCATTATCTTGGATTTGGAAATCAACTCAGCTTACTCTCCACAGAGTTTTCAGAGGGTGTAAATCTCATGGAAGGAGATTATTCAGCAAATCTCCATAGCAGACTAAGCCACCAGAACATCTTTAACAGTATGTATTTGGGAGGGGGGGAGAAAAAGGTAGAGATTAAATAAAATAAATACTCTTCACCTTCATTCCTTCTCTCTGATAATGTATTTTCAAGGATTCTTTTCTTTATTTCTGTTAACATTTAAAGAAATTGTATGGCATGACAATATCCCAGGGGCAGATGAGCTTCCTTCTGTTTGTAGTGTGCTGTAGGTGCTCTGGCAGAGCTAGCTGTCCCCTAGTTTTATGTTGGCTAATTTAACAGATGGAGGTCATTTATGTTGTAAGGTGTATGTAAGCCAACCCTAACCCTGGTCTGAAGTTAGCTATTCAACAGATTCCTTAGTAAATAATTTGAGGTCACTGAAATGTTGAGTGATACTTTGATGTTGAGAAGAAAATCTCTTTGTTAAGACTGCCTAAGTTTGATCTTCTAGGATCCAGATATGCCTCCCATCCTCTGTAGTGCCCAACTTTGCATGTACCTGGTATCTAGAACAAGTGTGTTACACTGAAGCAACTCTATGAGACTCCACATCCAGGGCTTGTTTTCCAAAAAAGAGGTATTGTTTAGAGTAGCAAAACTAGACACCTCCTAGGCTGCTGCTGTCAAGGCAGGTTCTGAGATGTAACCAAGACTAAGAGTGCCAGGTCACCTGCTACCACAAAGGTTGTAACAAATACAGTTCAGTTACAAAGAGGGTAAAACCCCAAGCAAAGAAACAAACAAATAAAAAACCTATGTCATGTGATATAGCTTAAGATTTAGTGACCACCAACTGTTACTCAAGGTAGTAATTTTTTAACCTAAATTGAGAAATCAAATTCTACTCACAGCAACGGCTTCTGTTTTCACATCGTCATTGCTATCTGGGGCAGTTAGTTCTATGAGGACTGGACACACATTAGTCTCCACATCAAATCGCTCAATTAGCTCCTGCTCCAGCAAAGCCAGCAAAGCTGCCTGACTTGTTTTTCTCACCTATGAAAAAAATAGTATAAAATGAGTCCATATACAACAGAGCAAAACCTGCCATTTGATTTTTTTACAAATTGGTATTGAGTTGAGAAATTTGACAAGTTTTCAACTCAAATGAAAGAGACTCATCATTAGACTTGAAAATCCCCTCTGCCATCAAGCTGACACATAGCAATAGGGCAGGGTAGAACTGCCCCTGGGGATTCCTGGGCCACAGTATTTACAGGAAAGGAGGCAGCCACATCTTTTGAGAAGCTTGGTGGGCTTGAAATGAAGATCTTTTGGTTATTAACCACTATAGTATCAGGTCTCTCATAACTGGCAAAATCTGAAAAGGAAGTTATGACTATTTTCTTCAATGGCTACAAACCTATTATTAAAATTGTATCATAACAGATTAAGTTGAATATAAAGATATCACACATTAATAGCAAATATTAGGATGAAAAACTATGAGGATGAGGGTATCACATGACAATACTGACTCTAATTATGGCAGGTTTTTGAAAAATCTTGTCTAATAAAAAACTGTCATAGAAAAACAAACAATAATGAAGTAAAAGGGTGAAAATTAACAAATATTCAAAGGTGATCACTTATGATACACAAACTACATTTTCTTGTATAATATGTAAATATTGCTAGGAAACTCTCTTACCTGATTATTCTGGTCTGCAAGATACCTAACCACGATAGGGAGTAAGTACTTGGAAAAAGCATATGGGATTGAAGGCCGGTTTTCTTGACAAAATAATGCAATAGGAGGTACTTGTTCCATCAGCTCTGCTCTCACTGTTGGTTCTATTAAAACAACAGTTAAATGAACAGATAAATTTTCCAATGGTTAGAAAGTTTTTACCTACTACTTCTCAGTAGTTTGAGACTACTGAGAAAGGTTTTGGACTTCCAGCCTAAACTTACAAAAAGGACTTACAAAAAGGTTCTGTAACTCTACAAACCTTTTCATAATCACATACAGGCAAACTTGATGAGGGAAAGGATGGCCTTTTCTCATCCTAAGTTTCCATTATTAAGAGTATGCACCTAATAAGCACTTGTTTCTTAAAATGGACCAACTCTGTCCTACATGGTGCTGGGAATTAAAGATCTGATATTCTTATTAGTACTACAGCATGGTATTCCTAGAAACTATTATTTAAGGAGTAGACAGTTACTGTGGCAAGTGATAAGGATTAATTTCTAATCTCAATTTACACAGGTTTACTTTTCACTTAACAAAGAACAAAAGCAGTTGGTAAATAATAAAGATTCCCTAAAAGAAAAAAAACCCACTAAAAATATGGAAAATTGGAACGCAAGCACAAAACACTCTAAACTTCTAAGTTTGAAAACAGTGAAATGCCAATAAATAATTGTGGGGAAACCAGCCAGCTATAGAAGGAAAAAAAAAAAATTTTTAAGATTCTTAGGTGCTATGATTCGTTTCTACTCACAGCAACCCTATAAACAACAGATCTGATTTTGTCCTATCTCGTGTCATCCCCAATCTCCTCTGTATTCAAGCCCATTATTGTAATCATTGTGTCAATCCATCTTGTTGATTATCTCCCTCTCTTTCTCTGATCCTCCACCTTTCCTAGCATGGTATTTTCCCCCCAAAGACTGGCCCTTTTTAACAACATGCCCAAAGTATGTGTGTCAAAGTTTCACTTTCCTTGCCACTAAGGAGCACCTTGGTTGCACTTCCTCCAAGACAGACTTGTTTGCTCTTTTGGCAGTTCAAGGGATGAATATTCAGTACTTTTCAATGTGATCATTTAAAAGCATTAATTCTTTTGCCATTCTTATCCACTGGCGATTCCAATCTTTTCTCCATCTTTCAAGATGTTGTCTATTGGTCCCGTGGTGAAGATTTTTGGTTTTTTGATGTTGAAATAGAAATCACAAAAGAAAAAAAAATCACATTGAAGGCTTTAGTCTTTGGTCTTCTGCAGCAAATGCTTCAAGCAAGGTTGTGACATCTGCATAAAAGAAGTTGTTGATGAGTCTTTCCCCATATGATGGCACATTCTTCATATAATTCAGCTTCTTAAATTATTTCCTCAGCATACAGATTGACTAGATATAGAGGAAGCATACAAGCCTGACACACACCTTCCTGATTTTAAACCATGCAGTGCTGTTCCTTAATTCTGTTCGGTCAAGAGCTTCTTGGTCTATGTGTAAGTTTCACACGAATACAATTAAATGTTTTGGGTTCTCATTCTTCTCAATGTTACTCAAAATTTGTTAGGATTTACATAGTCAAATGTCTTTGAACAATCAAGAAATTAAAAGTAAAGACCTTTTTGGTATTTTCTACTTTCAGTCTAGATCCATTTGACATCATAGTGCTATGGCTTCTTTTGATTCTACCTTGATTTCTGTAAGCTCCATAATGAGGATTCCAGGTGTACTTAATTCTCTTCAGCAAGATTTTCTTGCATATTATAATGTTTTATAATCTATTTTTTTTGGAATAAGAATACATATGAATAAATATAAGTCTCTTCCAGTTGACCAGGTAGCTATATTCCATAATTCTTGGCAAAGGCTACATCTGTTTTCCTAAACACTTAAATTGGTATTCCATCAATTCTTTCTTTCCCCCCTTCTACTTTTTATTTTATTCTGATTTATTTACAAAGTTTTAATACATTGTGTTTCACAAAAGATCCTTCCCATTTCTTTCACCCCACCCACCCACTGAATTCTGCAACCCTATTAACACCCTCCCTTCCCTTCTATTTCCACCCTCTCCCCCACCTTGGATCCTCATACTCATTCTACAATGATGGTTTTATACAGGATTTGTCCTTGTGGGGCTGAGTTAGTTCACTCAGCATAATGCTCTCCAGTCCCCTCCCAAGTCAGGTAGTTATTTAAAAAATGATTGCTCCTATGTGCTGTATAGTATTCCATTGTGTGAATGTATCATAATTTCTCAATCCATTTGAATGTGGTTGGTTACCACATTTTCTTGTGATGTTGAATAATGCTGCTAATGAACACTGGTGTACAAGTTTCCAATTGAGCCTCAGTTCTCATTTCCCAAGCAATGGAATAGCTGGGTCATATGGAATGTCTATGTTCAGATTTTTGATGAAGCACCAAACTGCCTTCCAGAGTGGTTGTACCACTGTACAATCCCAACAACAATGTAAAAGAGTTCCTCTGTCACCACGCTCTCTGCAACATTTATTACTTGCTGTCCTGTTAAAATTTTGCCACTGCTATTGGAGATGGTATTTCACTGTGGTTTTTATTTGCATCTCTTATTGCCAGTGATTCAGAGCATTTCTTCATGTCTGTTGGCCATCTGAATATCTTCCTCTGTAAAATTCTTTTCATGTCTTTTCCCATTTTGTAATTGGGTTATCAGACTTTTTCTTGTGGAAGCCTAGCAGTATTCTATAAACTTTCATTATGAGACTACTGTATGAGATGGTATTGCCAAATGTTTGCTCGCAGTCAGGTTTTCTTTACCCTGAACTGGAAAACCAGGAAGCCTTGGTTTCCCCTTTGGGAAGTGGCTCCACTGCCTCACTCAAATTCCAGCTATCTTCAGTATTCCATCAATTTTTGAGGCTTTATTTTGTGCCAATGCTTTCAGTGCAGTTAGAATTTCTTCCTATGATCATATGCTAATTCCTGAACTGGTTCAAGGTCAACTAACTTTTTTGGTATGTGACTCTGTGTATTCCTTCCATCTTCTTTTGATGCTTCTTGGATCAGCCAGAGTTTTGCCCATAGAATCCTTCAGTACTTCAATATGTTCTTTCACCTTAAAAAATGCAAAGTGTGTTCTTCTCTTTTGGTTTTCTAACTCCAGCTCTGTGCATATTTTGTTATAATACTGTGCTTTGTCTTCTTTACTTGCCCTTTGAAATTGTCTGTTTTATCTCTTTTCCATTGATCTATGTGCCTTTCACTGTATCAGTGCCATGCTGTCTTGACCACCATGGTGTTCATCTCTCTTACTTCTTTTGGGTTCTTGACCCTCTAGGACAATTTTTAGAGTGTCTTCTGACATGTATTTTGGTCTATTCTTTCTTACCTGTCTTTGCAATGATAAGACTTCATGGTGATGTCCTTGATGTCATCCCACAACTCCTATGGTCTTTGTTCATGATTTGTTCATCTATTTGTGTGGAGATTTTTTTAGATTCAAGTGAGATGGGCTTACGTTTTTTTTTCCTACTGAACTTATTCTGTCTTCAGCTTTAACCTGCATGAGTAACTGAAAGTTCCACAGTCAGTCTCCAAACCTGTCCTGAGTACAGATATTAAACTTTTACATTAACTCTCTACAGATGTAGTTAATGTAATTTGTATAGTCTATCAGGTAAGATCCATGTGTCTCGTCACTTTATATTTTTAACAAGGTATTTGCAATTAATAAAATAGTTGTACAATAGCCTATCATTTGATTTTCAGCCTCATTTCTGTCACCAAGTTCATAGTTTCCAACTATCAGTCCTTTGTTTTCAACTTTTGCACATCATAAACATGTGTACATCAAAATGGATGAATTAAAAAAATCCTCAACTTATTAAAAGATAAAGCTGGAAAGCACTAAAAGATAGTATTTTTAAAATGTGACTTGAATGACTGGAATTCCAGAAGACAAGAGGGACCGAGAAATCACTGAAAAAATTGTGGAAGAAGTACTAGAAGAAAACTTCCCAGGTATGAAGACCTGGGAAATCCACATTTCAAAAAGCTCAGCAAACACCAACAGACTAGACCAAAATAGAAAAACATCAAGACATGTTGTTGAGTTGCTGAGTAATGCAGAGTCAGAAGCGACCCAATGCTAACCCTGTGGCAGGTTTTCAGAGGCAGTTAATTACACCAGAGGAGATTATACATCCTTCTCCCACGGAGCTGCTGGTGGCCTTGAACCATGTGCTTTCAGGATTGCAGTGCAGCTTCTTGCCAAAGAAAAGCTTTAAGTCCTAGCATAGTCAAATTCTTCAAAATAAAAGATAAGGCTTGAACACTAAAAAGAAGCATGAGAATAAAAAGTCATCTACAAAAGAAAAACAATTAGATTAAGTTCTGATTTTTCAGCAGAAACCATGTAAGCAAAATGACAATGGAGTGGCACATACAGAAAGTTGAAAAACAATTACGAACCAAAAAAGCTCTCCATCCAGTATTAAAGAGAAATTACATCCTTCACAGAAAAGAAGGACCTTACGGAATTTGTGAAAATAAAGACCAAATCTACAAGAACTTTTAAGGCAAGTCCTTCACACAGACACACTAAAGGAGAGTGGATGGACCACAGTAACAAGAAACAACAACAAAGAAACACAGAAAAATGGCAACAAGAAAACCTGGCTTGTCAATAATCACTCTTAATGTGAATGGAATTAACGTACCAATCAAGAGAAAAAGGGTTGCAGAATGAATAAAAAGAACAAAGGCTTTCAACATGTTGTTTACAAGATACATATCTGAGAAATAAAAAGAAAGGCTGACTCAAAATCAAAGACTCGAAAAAATATACCAAGCAAATGGCATCCACAAAAAAAGCAGATGGTGGCAATACAAATCTCTAATAAAACAGACTTTAGGATGAAAACTACCATAAAAGATAAGGAAGGGCACTCTATAATGATTAAAGGCAAAGTTGTTGTTGTTTAATGCTGTCGAGTCGTAGACGACTCATAGCGACCCTATGAACGAACAGCCTGAGCACTGTTTGTACATAGAGTTTCCAGAGGCAAGCCATTTTGGAAGTGGATGCCACTCCTGCTTCCAGGCTTGATTTAGTTGGGAAGTTCCAGCCAACA